AGTTCAGAGGAGAAGCCCAGGGAAGAGATATAAATTTGGGAGTCATCTACACATAGGTGGTATTTAAGTTCATATATGAGATCACCTGGAGAGTAAAAATAGGGAAGAGAAGGGATTTGAGGACTTGAGCCCCAGAGTATTCCAAATTTTAGAGGTTATGGAGATGAGAATGAACCAGCAAAGGAGACTGAAAAGGAACAGTCAGGGATGTCAGCAGAAAAATAAGAGAATGTATTGGAAGTTAAGTGAGGAATGTGTTGCAAGGAAGTCGGACTGTGTCAAATTCAACTAATCGATCAAGTAAATGAGACCCAAGAATTGACCGTGGATTTGGCCATGTGGAGGTCATTGGTAACTTTGACAAGAGCTGTTTCACTAGAGTGGTAGGGTGACAACCTGGTTAAAATTGTTCAGGAGAGTTTTTTTAAAAATGGGAACTATTATAGTATATTTTTTTATTGTTGGGAATGAGCCAGTAAAAAGGGAAAAAGTGATGCAGGAGAAAGGGGACAATTCCTGGACCAATGTCTTTGAGTAGAGAGGGGGTGGGATCCAGTGCCTAGTCAGTAGGCCACACAGGATAATTGGTCACTCCTTGAAAGGTCTTTCAAGCCTCTGCCTCATCCTGTCTTCCTTCTGGCTGGAAGGCCCTCACTTTCCTTCTGCATCAGCACTATCACCACCACTCCACCTGCCAAAACCATATTCGTCCTTCAGAAGTACAACACGTGACGTGTCCTTCATGCAGCCATCCTCCAATTCCTCGGACATAATCGATTTCTTTCCCTTGTGTGTCCATGGCATGTTTTTTGTACTTTTTAAATTAGTCTTTCTTCTTAATTAGATAATTTGTTCCTTGAAGGCTCATGATCCCTGATTTTTTACCTCACTCAACCATTATAAGAGACAAATTAATTAATAGATAATTCCTGGCTCCTAGAAGGTACTCAGTACGTATTTGCTGAATGAGTATACTGTGTGGTTATAAGGAGTTACTCTTTCCCTTGTGTGATGAACTTGGCTCGTGTTTGGAGGAATGGCGCCAGGCTCTACTGTGGAGTGTGTTTACTTTGCATCGCCTACTACTGCTTTTCACTGGTGGGTACTCTCTGTTTGTCTGAATTCTATTAAAAATCTGTGTGTTCTCCTTGTCTCCTAAGCAACATTGTATGTAACTAGGGCTCTCTAAAGTGCTTTGTATGAACTAAAGTTCAGTAAATATTTGTGAGTTGATTAATATACCTTTTTCTTCTGGTCTTCCCCTCTCCAAGCTATGATGAACTGGTGCCTTATAGGTAAATTTCTAGCCAGGAATTGCCCTCTATCCTACTTCCCAAAAGTTCACCCCAGAGAGTCAGTTTGAGAATCAAATCATCTTTTGACAATCAGTCATTTCTCAGGAATAAAAGAATAGTCATTTCTCAAGAATAATTCTTAAGAATAAATTAAAAAAAAATAAATGTTTGCTTGATTGGTTTCTGGCCAAATCAGTGTATTTTAGTTGGGAGGTGCTAAGTTAGGTGCTGCCTTTAATACTGGCAGGGCTAAAAGGAACACCTGCTTTGGGACCCGGCCTGAGTCAAATCCAGGTTCTACCACTTGGGCAAGTAAGTGGTAAAGTCATTTTATTTCAGTCAACTGCTCTGAAGTTATAATTTTCTTTCCTGAAAATATAGGCATAATTATGCCCACTTAATAGGTTTGTTGTGGAGGTAGATGAGGTATGGCTGTGAAGTGCCCAGCCCAGCGTTTAGAAAACTAAGGTCTCAGTAAATCCTAGCTGCTGTTACTCCTCTGTCTCAGGTTTGCTTCTGTTTCCTCTCCAGCAGGGCTGCTGCTCTCCTGTTTCGGAACGTAGAGGAACTCAGTGGGCTAGCTGCTGCAGCGCGGGGCGTGTGCTTTTCCCAGAGAGCAGTTTTGAGTAAAGACTTGCTTCCCATGCCCCTCCTGGCCTGTCTTCCATGGCTTACACCTCTGGGTCATTTTTTTTTACCCTGTATCTTCTGCTCCGCTTCTCCCTTGAATGCAGTCAAGGCACCAAAAGCTAGTTTCACCTCTGGCTTTCCATCTTCTCCCCTCACCCTGACTCTCAGCTTTCCTGTTGGTCTGCAACTTCGGAAGTCACTGTTCTTTGTTCTCCAGCTCAAGGTTAAATATACGATGAAAACCACGCCATCTGCTGGAGAACTGGATTTTCTTTGTTCGGGTTACAAAAGAGCCTTTGCATCTGGCTTGAGGTCTAGAAGACCATCTACCCCAGTCCCCCTTGCTAGCCGGAGTCCACGTTCCAGTATGCCCGGCTTCTCTAGTGTTTTGTTTTTCTCCTTTCTCCTCCTAAGCCCTTGTCTTTGAGAGAGAGCAGAACAGAAATAACGCCAGACTCTGAGTTAGAATGTGCACATTCAGGTCGCTTTAGTGTGGTCAGTTCGCTTTACTTCTCTGAGTTGCAGTTTTCTCATCTGTGAAATGGAAATAATAATTCCTGAATTTTTACCTTACCAGATTATTATTATAAGATAAGGGACACCGAAATCTTGATAAACTAAAGTGCTATTTGGATGCGAGGAAGTCTTATTACTCTCCTTCCTCATTTATTTATCCTAGCTGGGACAGGCTTGGGGGTAACTGGTGCCAGACTCTGCATTTGCTTATCTGCTTTCCTAGGACCCTGGCCTACCTACGGGGCTGGACCTGGTAAGGCTCCCATGCCTATGTAGCCTTTGGTGGGCTCCATGGTCTTGCCATCTGGGAGGGTGCAACATCATAAGCCAAACCATTGATTTGCCAGCTCTCAGCTCCTCCCAGCCATGGTTCCTACAGCTTAGTAATGTGAGTCTGGGGAGCTTCCCCCCTCTACTCCATTGGAGACTCCAAGGAACAATTTTGGTTTAATGTCCTCTCAAAACTTTGAGTCATTTGCTGTAGATACTTGGCCAGACTGTCAGAACATTCTGGGAGTTCTCTGAAATGAGAGAATAATACAGTACTTCTGGCTATCACAGAGTGCTTACCATGTGTCAGGCACTATAGTAAGTACTTCTCTTGTTTAATCCTCATAGCATTCTTTGAAATGGGTGTTTATTATTTGCAATTTACTGAAAAGAAAACTGAGGCTCAAAAAAGTTAAAGTCTCTTGTTCCAAGTTACATAGTTAGTAAGTGGCCGAGGTGGAATTTGAACTTAATTCTCTCTTATCCCAAAATTGTTCTGACTACCATAGCATGAGGCTTCCCATCTCTCTACAGGAAGAGGGGCCCTGGGCTGCAGAGGAAAACTCAGCTCTCCAGTCGTATAATCAACATGCAGATCCCAACCCTGCCTGTGTGATCTCTGGGGCAAGTGGCTTTCAACTTCTCCAGCCGGATACTATCTCATTAAATCTTCGCCACAGCCATATGACATAGGTGCTATTCCTATCTCCATTTGACATTTGAGGTGAGGTGGAATGACATGCCCATGGTTACAGAATAGTGATAGTAAGTGACAGTGTGAGAACTCAGGTCTGATTCAGTGTTCTATCCACCATTTCTCACAGCCAGCTCCTAAGACCTGCTGTATCAGTCAGGCAAACTTACAGCTCTTAGGCTGCTGGTTGGAAGCCTATAGGGGGAGCGGGAGCCTTGCCCTCTTCTGCTCTGTCTCTTTCTCCTCCTGTAATCTCTCCTCCTTCTTAGAAACCTTACTCAGGCAATATAAACATTTGCAGTTCAAGGAAAAGACTTGTGCAGTGCTTAAAAAACAGAGCACCCCAGAGAAGCCTGGGAATCTGCCTCCCATCCTTTGTATGAGTTTGTGCTGTTACTTTGACAGCATGGTGTGGAGGGTATAGTTTTGAGAAAGTTCTTTCTGACCTTTTTTCTTTATCAGTATAATCTTGTAAGGTTGTTGTGAAGGTTAGAGATGATAAATATTCAAGGGGAGCAGGTAGAGCCTTATTAATTGATGGCAGTTATTTTCCCCGGCAGCAGAGTCTAATAGAAACCAGACTGTGAGTCAGGAGTCCTAAATCTATTACTCTTATCCTGTGACCTTGGGCAGGTGAGGCCCTATCTGTAGATAGACTACGTGATCTATAAGGACTCCTTTCAGCTTTAATATCCTCTGCTTTTAAAAAATGAAAGTAATAAATGTGTTTGTTTGATTTTTAATCAAACTGAACAGAATTTTATGAAGTAAAAAGTGAAAGACCTCTATCCTTCCCCCTATTCAGTTAATTCCCACGGTAACGCTTGTTGCCAGTTTGTGTCCTTTCCATTGTTTTCTGTATATTTTAAATATATTCAGCCGTGTGTAAAGATAGCCAGCCCTGGTCGTCTAGTGGTTAAAGTTCGGGGCTCTCACCACTGTGGCTTGGGTTCATTTCCCATTCAGGAACCACACCACCTGTATGTGGGTTGCTATGCTGTGACGGCTTGTGTTGCTGTGATGCTGAAAGCTATGCCACTGGTATTTCACATACCAGCAGGGTCACCCATGGTGGACAGGTTTCAGCAGAGCTTCCCGTCTGAGACAGATTGGGAGAAGGACCTGGCCACCCACTTCCAAAAACATTGACCATGAAAACCCTCTGCATAGCAGCGGAGCACTGTCTGATAGAGCGCTGGGAGAGGAGAGGATGGTGCACAAAGCCTGAGCGGGGCTCCGCCCTGTTGTCCACAGGGCCACTAGGAGTCAGAATCGACTCGACGGCACTAACAAGAACAATGGGTAGATATATATGTGTACGCATGTGCACAGACACATTATATGGTATGCATGTATATATGTGTGTATTTATATACACACACACACATATATATGTTAAACAATGCAATCTAAAATACATACTGTATTATGACTTATCCTTCCACTTAACTTGTTTTGGGCATTACTTGAAAATTTAATTTATTGTTTCAAATTAACATTTTCTAATTCATTAAGTGGTCCCCTACTGATTACATGCCATGATTTTTTAAAGCAAATGTACACATAACAATGTTGGTTTTTTAAATTCTTTTCAGGAAAAGAAGAAAAAGAAACATAGAGACAGGAAATCATCTGATTCTGACAGCTCAGACTCTGAGAGTGATACAGGCAAGAAGGCAAGACACACATCAAAAGACAGCAAGGCAGCAAAGAAGAAGAAAAAGAAGAAGAAGCATAAGAAGAAGCACAAGGAATGAGAGTGGAAAGAGTGGAGGGGTGGCTGAGAGAAGAGGGATCAGGAGCCTTGTGCCTTGAAGCCCTGGCTCCTGGAAAGACTCGATAGTGAGAATATGGCCTCCCACCCCACTGACTTTTCTCCCATGGGAGGTGGCTTCCCCTCATGCAGCAGGCAGGTTTGGGAGTTAGATGTCAAAAGCATCTGCCCGAATGAATTGTTTCCTTATCACCCCTGGTCCCTTTGCAAGTGACCCCTGCAGCTCACCCATTCATTCACCCAGTTTCCTTCATTCAGCAGGCGGTCCTATTACCTTCTCCAGCTGCCACTGCCAAAGCCAGATTCCTGCACAGGAGTCCAGGCGGGAGCCACAGGGTCTGCTGTGGAGGTGCGTCTGGCTGTGGGTGGAGAGCAGAGTGATTGGCCCTCCCTGTTGGTCTGCCCTGGGCTGATGGGTGGCTGATCGCTGCTGCATCCAGCGTCGGGGCAGAGGGAGACTGCCAGTATGAGGGAGAACATGGGAAGAAGTGGTGCTCACTTTTTCCATTCCCCCTAACATGATTCCACTGTGCTAGAAGTGACAGCCAGTGGTCACAGCCAGAGGACTATTGTTTGCAGTGACTGCGCTTGTGTGTGACGTTCTGCCAGACCACTGAACCAGGCAGCTCAAGCCAAGATCATTGCTTCCCTTTGTATTTACTGCTGTGAGTCACTTGGTTCCACGTCAGGCCTCTGCTTCAATCCCTGGCACTAAATGGACGTGTGTTTGGATTTAAATTTACTGCAAGTTCTTATTGATATAATCCCTCTTCCCGGGTAACTTACAGACTTAAAAGTCACTGAGTCTGCATTAGTTGACAGAAAAGCATTTAATATGTTACCTTAGACCTTGGACGGAGGCCCAGCTAAGGCACAGGGCCAGAGGCACCCGCAGGTCAGTCTTCTCAGGATATCACTTATAAGCCCCGCCCTTCTGCAATGATCAGATGATCTCTGCCCTCAGAGCTCTTAGAGAACCAGTAAGCATTTGTAACCATGAGCAGTGGCCTGGGGCATGGGTGGGAGCTCAGCAGTCGTCCTGGCCAGTGGGCATTTTCTCCCACCACCATGGTACAAGCCTGGATCCTGTGTCCTGAGCCTGCCTTCTGGAGAGAGACCACAGCATTCCACAGAGGGAGCAACTGTCCAGACCCAGGGGCATTCAGTGCGGGATGGGCCTGTGGGGACAGGTCGGTAGCCAAGCCAGGGGAAGCCCCATCACTGGTTGATCACCCCAGGTTGGACCAGCTCATTTGGCCATGGGGAGGGGACCGTGTAAAGGCGAGGTGTAGGTCCAGCGGTTTTATCATCATATGTGTAAGGTGGTCAGCTACCACTGTCCCTGAGACTATCCATCTCAGTCTCCAGTGCTCTTCCTGACTGGCCTTCAGGCAGTCATTTCTGCCCACTCTCTGACACACAGGGAAACTGAGACTCCCAGAGTCACGTCACCAAAGGCAAAAAGGCAACCGGGTGGTCTTAGCTCTGCTTTATTGACTTCAGAGCACACTCTGCATGCAGTTAAAAAACACACATACACAATGGGAACTGGAACTAGATCCAGGCTGGTGCCCCCTGAGCCCAGAAGAACTTCCCCAACCAAGCTGGGTTTATACAAAATGCCAGAGGAAAAAATGAGGCAATCTGGTGCTGAGTCCACAGGCAGCCACTTGGCAGAGGCGCAGTCAGTGAAGGAGCCAGTAGGTCAGGCCTCTTTCTCGTAAGTACGAGTGCTCACTGCGCTGCCATGGGTGAGTGTCTGGAAGGAAAGACAGACAGGTTAGGGCAGGGTGAGGGCACCGGAGGTACTGGGAGCACTCTCCGTTCTCGTGGGGAGAGTCCCCTACCTTCATCCTAAGTCTTCATTTACTACCTGCTATGTGCCAGATACTTTGCATGTATTTTTTCTAATACTTACCCCAGGTCTTTAAGTTAGGCATTGTAGTTCCTCTTTCAGAGATTTTGGAAAGTGAGCTTTGAGAGAGGAAATCACTTGGTCAAGACTGCAGCGTTTCTTTTTCCCTTGCACTACTCCTCTCCCTTCATCCCCAGTGCTCAAGGTGAGGCCTGGCACGTAGTAGACAAATAGGTCAATAAAAGTGTCCAGACACTCTGGGGGAGGGACTGTGCTAGGGCACCAACTCTCCATTCCTTCCCTTACTTAGGGTAGAGCCAGGGCCAGAGGCCTGAACCCCACCATCCAGCCTGGCATTGCAGAGCCAGGCCCACGGCCACCCATAGCCCAGTTGTCCAGTGAGTGTTTGGTCCTGCATATCACATTCCCACCAAAGCCAGGCACCTCAGTCTTCACTCTGCCGGGCCCCTGCCCCCTGTGAACGCAAGAACGCAGTGAGCAGGTTACACTGCCCCAAGGAGGTCTGCAGTGAAGATTCTGAGGCCTTACAGAGTTAGGAGGCAGACTGCAGGTGGCTGCTGTCTCTGCCCCTGGGTCTCGGGGTGTTCAGTCAAGGCTCCATTCTCTGAGTGAAGTCCCCAGGTTTGTCCCTAAAGAGAGAGATCTGCTGGCCTGGTTGTTACTTCCTTCCAGGCTGCAGTCAGGTACTTGCAGTAGGCCAGGCATAGGAAGCACTGAGAGGAGGGGGGCTGGAGTGAAGTGGAAGGACTGTGCTGGCAGTCAGTGCCCCCCGTCACCAGCCTGTCCCTACCCAAAGGCTCTGCCTGGGGAGTGCAGTCCTAGGGAGAGGAGGGAAGGGGATGCTGGGATAGAGATGGGAGCCTCTCCTTGGGGCCTGGGATCCCAGTCAGCCCTGCTTTCTACTTCTCCCTGGGGTGACGCAGGGCGGCAACACAGAGGAGGAAGCTAAGGCTCTGGAGCACCTGCTGGATCCTCCCACTCAGGGATGCCTTGTGCTGTGCCTCCGCTGTCTCCTCGACTTCCCAGCAGCCCCGCAAGGCTGATGTTAGTAATACCCATTCCTTACAGTTGGGCTTGGAGAGGGTGACTTGTCCAGAGTCAAACAGCCTATAAGCTGAGATCTGAACCGAGGCCTGGTTGAGTCCAAAGCCACTACATAGAAAATTCCCACCTATACCACCCGACCCTGCCTCCCCCTCCATCGTCCCAGCCTCCACTGCTCTCAGGGAGAGGCCTTGGCTTTCTACAGCAGGCTTGGCTGAAAGGGCAGTAGTAGTAACCAGTTGGGTGAGGCTCCACAGTTGTCCATCTTACCAGGATGAGTTTTCCATCAATTAGCTCCCGCACGAGTGTTGTCTCTTGCCCATTCCACTTCTGCACATGGACAAGTTTGCCTCCATCCAGTGTCACAAGGGACTGTGGAAAAAGGGTGGAGCCTGAGCTGTGATCCAAGCCAGAATTGAGGGATAGCATGAGGTTCAGCCACTGGGGCCACAGAGGACTCAGCCTCTGACCCAAACTAATGATGGTGCTAGGACAGAACTCAGGCAGCCCACCTCCAACCCAGCCCTGCAGGATGTTCAGTTCCCCACCAGCCTCTGCTCCACTACTGCCGGGTCGGGGGAGGGGCCTTCAGGTGTTGGACAAGTAGGCAGAGGCAGGCAGTATTGTGGAGCCAGACAGCCTCGCTCTGAAAGGCACCACCAACCTTCAAGATGGGCACTTGGCCTGTACTCTAGGTGATGCCCACAGCCCCACACCCCCAGACAGAGGGGGCACGTACTAGCCTAGATCCCCAAGAAAGACTGGTGAGGAGGAGTCCTGAGACTCTCCAGCCTAGTGGTGACCACACATAATGTCTCAAGTAGGCTTGGGGATGGGAGGTATTGGAAAGTTAGACTTCCTGCCCTGTATTCCTACCCCTCTCCTCTGTCCACATCACGTGACCCTTCAGCTGACAAGTGGGCAGCGACTGCCAGGTCCTGGGACTGGGTGCCCTTGGTGTGTTCCACAGCCCAGGTCAAATGCCCACTCAGTCTTTGGGTGCTGCCAGCCTACATCAGCTGGTTCTCATTTGGTAGCTCTCCCAGGTCTCTCGAGGAATTTGGGGGCTCTAGGCCAGGCTAGGGGACCCTAACTGAGCAGGATTCAGTAGGAGAATCTTGAGAAGGCTGTGTGTATGTGTTTGGGGCTGGGTGGAGGCTGGGTGTGCATCCTCACCACCACCTTACTCCTCCTTCCCATTCCTCTAGTTTTTTGCCCACTCAGAGCAGATTACTTGAGCCTAGGCATCCCAGGGAACTACTGTTGTGTTTAATTGGGGTTCTTGTCCCTCAAGAAGGTGGGCTTTTCCAAGGAGGTAGAGGCATGTGGTAGGGCAGCTACCTCTCCAATGTAGGCTGCCATCTTTGGGCACCATCCCAGCTCTGCTGCCCGCCTCCTTATGTGATCCTATGTGATCCTGGAATGAGCTTCCTCCACAAGGAGGAGACCAGACCCTCCCCTGTCCTTCCTGGGGGGCAGCCGTGAGGAAGAGGAAACAGCTGAAGTGCTGAGTGACAGGGTCTGGTGGGAGGACACTGCTGTAGGGGCACCCTGTAGAGGTCAAAGGCCCTTAGTTCTCTCTCTCCCATGCCTGGCCCAGGGGCTGGGAGGCCTGAGGCAAGCTGTCAAGACAGCCATTGCAGCCTGACAAGCCCTGAGACTGGGGGTGGCTATCCCCTCCCTCCCTGGGAGGAGGGGCACCAAGACTCAGCGGGAAGACACTACAAACACACCAGAGACAATGCCCCATCCAGAAGGTAGCTTTTCCTGCCTGTGGGCTAGCAGCATCAGAAATAGTTCCTCAGCGTTACTGGCCAAGCCTGGGAGGTGGAGGTTGGGGAAGAGGAAGCATCTGAGTAGGTCTCAACCTCTTGTCCCCAGGTGCCTCCTTTGCTGCTGGAAGTCAGGATGACCTGCTCACTCAGTGGAGAGCTCTGAATTCTCCTGGGTGTCATTCCTAAAGCACTTGAGGTCACAGCCATGACAACATAACTCCCCCATCTATGGAAGGGGAAAGAAACCCAGAGCTATTGCGTGCCATGCACAAGGTCACCCGGCTGGGGCTGGAGCTGGAGCAGACATTGAGGTCAGAAGAACATGCTGGCCGTGTGCTGCCCATTCTCTGAAGCAGCTAGCAGGTGCTTCCCAAGAACGGAGGGTGCAAAACAAGAGGACAGGACTCAGCGTTTAGTGCTGAGGACATTGCAGCACTGCACAGGCTTTATGGACCTTGTTTGTTTTAATCCTGCATAACAGCCTACCCCTCAGGTTGCAAAAATAGGGCGCCAAGGCTACCATCCTATTCACCTTCAGAGTCTCAACACCCTCCATTCCCCAGGCCTGCTTCCTTGACTCACCTTGACCTTCCTGTCATCTGCTGTTGTCTCGTCAAACTCCACCCCCAGCTTGAAGCTGATCTCCGTGTTCTTGAAGGTGCTGTGTGTTTTTATGGTGATAGTGTCCCCATTTACTTCGATGATTGTGGTAGGCTTGGTCATGTTGGCTACCTGCCTGGTAGCAAAACCCACACCTGAGGGCAGAGGGAAGGTTATGAGCATATGAGCTGGAGCAGAGAGGCAGGGTACAGGGAGCTCAGTGAACAACTCTTAGGCCTGGGTGTGGGGCAGAGGGAAAAGGAGGATGAGAACTTTCAAAGACTGCATGGCTTTTTTTTTTTTTTTTTTTTTTGTGAGGAAGAGTGTTGCTGAGCTAACATCTGTGCCCATCTTTCTCTATTTTGCATGTGGGATGCCGCCACAGCATGGCTTGATGAGCAGTGTGTAGGTCCACGCCCAGGATCTGAACCTGCAAACCCCACCAAAGCAGAGCCTATGAACTTAACCACTACGCCACCGGGCCATTTTTAAATTCAGTCTTCCTGTTAGCTTTATGCAATGAAGAGACACTATTGAGCCCATTAGACAGATGAGAAACTTAAGGGACAGGCATGCCACAGCAGGTCTTGGCAGAGCTGAGATTAGAATAAGCTGCTAAAGTGCTTTCTGTGTGGTGAGCACTGTAAGTGTTTTCTCACTCAATCCTAGTCTCCCTGAAGGGTTGATCTCCACTTTACAGATGCAGACACTGAGAGGTGAAGCCCAGGATCACGTGTCTGGAATTCAAACCCAGAACTGTTTGACGGCAGAGCTCACTTAACTGCTCAGCTGTCCAGCCTCCCAAGGCTGGAGCACAGGGCTCCCTTCCAGGGCACCTGAGCAGCTTCCAAGCCACAGGCTGAGGAAAGAAGAGAAATGTGGACTTTGGCTTCCAAAAGCCTTAGGGATAAGAATTTTCCACCTTTGGAATTTTTTGCCCTGAGACATACTGGTGCCCTTGTCCCCCATATATGGCAACAAGATGTTTTCAAAGCCTCTTATCCATGATCTAGGAGGCAGGCAGACGGCAGTGTTTGTCTCAGTGTACAGATGTAGGAGAGGCCTAAAGTGGTGCGTGGTCAGGACTCAAATCCAGGTCTCCTGGCTCTTATTCTAAGGCCCTGCGGGGACTCCCCTCCCAACCCAAGCTCGGCTTCCCTGGGTGCTAGGCGAGGCCCTCAGTGTCCTGCCAGTGTGTGGAACAGAGCTCTTAGGAAAGCCTTCACCCCTTCAGGTTGTGGCTTCCCTGAGATCTGTCCTTTTGCCTCTAACCTCCCATCAGGACTGCCCCACGCCTCTGCCCCCAGCCGCCTATGCTGAGCTGTCCCCCAGGGCAGAGGCGAGGCTGGAGCAGCCCAGTGTGGCGAGGTGGTGTGTGTGAAGTCCCCGCACATGCCTGGCTACCTAGTGCTTGCTGGAAGCTAGGTACTTGGCCTGTGTGGTACACAGGTTGTTTTACTTACTGCTCCTAACAGCCCTCAACGGCAGGTTTTATTTTCTCCTATTTACAAATGGGACTTGGAGAGTGAAGTGATTTGCCCAAAGTCAAAGAGTGATCTCAGTTTGAGTCTAGGCTCCAAAACTTCATTGTTCATCCTGGACCATTCTGCCTGCCAGCACATACTTCATCCGGGCACTGAGGCCACTGGGTGTGCCTGTGGTCACTGGTACCAACCAGGCTGGGCCTCTGCCCCTCAGAACCCTTGGTCTAAAATGAGAGGAGCACGGGCAGCTCTGCAGTGTGCTATTGCCCTGCCTGGCAGTGAGGGACTTAGCCTTGCCCCTGCTGTCACAGTGAGTCAGGCCCGTCCCCTCCCCGGCCCAGAGCAGGGCCTTGTCACCGCACAAGGAGCTCTGTTTGCTTAGGACCTACCCAGAGGTATGGAGTGTTTGAGGAAGGAAGCCACTGGGGGTGAGTGAGGGACTAAGCTAAGAGAAACTATGACCTAAAACTGAGCTACAGAATTTAGGAGACTCGGGAAGAGCTGGGTTCTACTCAAAAATGAAGCTGAAGCTATTTACTGAGAGAGCCGAGGGGAGTCTTTTCTCCCCCATGGCCTCATCCTTTCCATCTGTACACATGAAAAGCAGGCTGGATGGATTCTCAGCCCCCTAGTCCAAGTTGGGGCAAAATAATGGAACAAGGGTGACAAGGATGTTGCAGCCACTTCAGGGGCTCAGGTCTTCAGTTAGAATGTCTGTTTGGGGAGGAGGAACTAACCCTGGGCATCCCAACTTCCCCAACAGCTGCCTGGGGCCCCCTGCTTCTAAAGAATGGCTCCGCTCCTGGAGTCACTGGGCAGAGTGCCCAGCATAGGGTAGGGGCAGTGGAGGGCTTTGGTCCCTATTTCAGAAAAGGGTTAGGAACAGAGGTGAGAGGTGTCTGGAGTGGACCACCCCCCCCCCCCCCCCCCCCCACTTCTTTGGGTATCTGTCACAATCCAGGCCCCCTTCCCTGGGAGGAAGGTATGGAACCTAGCTCGACCATGCACAACATTTGGGTTTTCCCTGTCCCAGCCTGGGGGACTAGGATAATCTCATAGCTGAGGATTTCAGAGAGTATCACCTGCTCCATCTAAGCCCATTCCAGGAGGGGAAGGGCTAAGGTCAATCATTAGCTAAGCAGTCCCTACCACTCCCAGCCCCAGGGCCCATAGTGGGACCTGTTCTGCCTTGTAGATCTAGAAATCTGGGTTTTCATATCAGCTCTGCTGCAGAATTGATATGACAAGGTTCACCTCTCTCTGGGTCTGTTTCCCCATCTGTTGAACTAGGCAAGGTATGGGAATCTCCAAGGACCTCACCTGTAAGGTTCTTTGAAACTTTATTCTTCCCCATCCCAATGCCACACTCTCCTAGACCAAAGACCCTCCTTGCCTTTAACAGGTCTTGGCCTTGCTCTGCGGCTCTGTGCTGCACCCCAGAAGTCCCTCCCCACGAGCAGCCCGAGCCTTGGGTTGTAGCTGGTCATGGGCCCTTAGCCCCACCCTACCACTAGGCTCACTGACAGCGATCAAAGCCTGGTTACACACCACTGCAGGGCCAGGTCAGAGGCCGGCTGGTGAGAAAGAGGGCATCCTCCAGCGACAATCCTTCTCCCTAACCCAACATGGAGGGGCAGGGGTTGTTGCTAACTGTGCAGGCCCCATCTCACCCCCTCCTCACATCCCACTCCCCGTGCTTCCCCACTCTTCCTCCCCCTCCTCTTGGGGATTCCCGACTTCTTTGAGCCACAGCACACTCCCTATCAGCCCCATTCCCTTTCTGTGTTCCATCTCCAATTCCTAAACCACCCATGCACCTCTTCTTTTCCTCCCCTAGCCAGCTTTCCACCTTCTGCGATCAATGCTCTTTTTATCCAGACCCACCCGCTTACTCCAGATCATATACCCCTCTTCCTCGAAAGCGCCTCCCTGCCCCCACATCGCCCGGCACATCTGCCTCCTCCTCGCTCCTCCTTACCTGGGAATCCCTCACGCCAGGTTCAGACTGTGAAAGCCCCCTCCCAACAGGCCTCGTATGCCCTGGCCCAGGCTGCCACCTTCTCCGCGTCTCCCTACTCCCCAACCCTGACCGGGAGGGATGCAGCCGGCGAGCAGGGTACTAGTCAGGGAGGGAGCGCTGGGCTGGGCTGGGCACGCAGCCAGCCCCTCCCCAGCCCAGCATCCCAAGCTGCGCTCACCGATTGACTTCATGTAGTCATCGAAATTCTTGCTGTCCACTAGCTTCCAGGTGCCGACGAAGGCGTCCACCATGGTGAGGCTGTCCTAGGTCAACAAAGAAGAGCCAAGAGAGCAGGCGTGCAAGGACTCCGGGACCCGAAGCTCTCGGCCCGCGCTGCCGCTTTAAATAGCCCTTGTATCACGTGATGAGGCGTGGCCCACACCCGGGCTCCCGAAATAGGAAGCCGCAGGCTGCAGCTCACTCGCCCGGGGCTGGCCGCCCATCCCCCAACCGGCCGAGCCGGGGAGGGGGCAGTCACTAACGCCCGGCTCGCCTGCGTCGGCGTGGTTACCCGGCCTCCAAGGCGCTGCCCTGGGCTGGCCGGACCTGCTCTCTTTCCCGGCCTCAAGGAGCTTTTGAATCTGAGAAGGAAGCAGCTGGGGGCACGGTGCCGGCAGACTGGGGCGCACGCCACGGACATCGTCAGTCACTGAGGCTGGCGTTAGAGCAGAGATGAGAGACTAGAGGAGAAAGGAAACTCGCACAGAGCGGATGCCCACGCCGGAAAGGCTCTGGCTGACTCTCGCGGGGCAGGCATCTTGGTCCTCGTTTTACAGGTGAGGAGTCCAAGGCTCAAAGGGGAACTAACAAGGTCGCAGGAAATAAGGAGAGGGTGGATTGGAGCCCAGATTGCAAACCTGGGCCAGCCTGCGCCAGAATTCGCGCTCTCCTGCCACTCCCCACTGCCCGGTGGCGGGGAGAGTCACCAGGGGCACCGTGGGCGGCTGAGCTGCCCTTGCGCCCTCTGTCTGCTCCGGCGGCAGCGTGACCCTTCCCGCCGCGCCGCGCCACCCCACGCGTGCTCGCCCCTCCCTTCGGAATGTCTCCTGCGCGCGCCTTTCCGCCCTGCAGTCCAGCTCCCCATCCACCTGCCAGTGCTCGAGGCTTTTCTGAGCTCTGTGCACAGCTCTCAGCATTTGGTCAGGTCACCCTCCTTCGGAAATTCTGTCCCACCAGCCAGCTCTTCAAGGCCCAAGGGCAGCTCCCCACCTACCTGGCTGCCGCAGCCCCCACCTGCCGCCCTTTCTCTGACCTCTGCGCCCCTGGCAAGCCTCCTGCGCTTCCATAGACCGTCAGTCACCTGCTTTAAAGAGCCTGCCAAAGGCGTTTGACACTTTAGAGCTTACAAAGCACCTTTAATATAATAAGATCCACCTTGTATTGATGTTTATTGCATGCTGAGGGCTTTAAATATGTTGTCTTGTTGAACCTGTAAAACAAAGTCCATGAAGCAGCTGCTGTTATTCTCCCTGTTTTACAGATGAGCAAACCAAAGCTTGGAGGAGTCCACTCATTTCTGAATCCAGCAGTTATTAAAGCATCTACTTTGTGCCAGGCCCTGGCTGGGCTCTGGGGAGACCACCATGAATAAGACGCAGACAGCTCCCCTTTGGGTGGGGAGACCCAAAACTAGTGTGGTGACTAGGGGGAGACCTGTCCTGATCTGAGGGTTCAGGGAGACTTCCCAGGGGAAGTGTGGTGCCAGCGAAGCCCTGACGGATAGAAGGAGGCCCAGCATAAGGAGTCACACCCAACTGAACTTCAGCCGACAGAGGTCCATCCAGGGGGCAGGCAGGAGCCACGGCACGGCACGGGAGCCATGGGGCCCCGCCGGCTCTGCCGCACACCTACAGTGGGGCGGGCCCTCCCTCCCCCCTCCCCCCCCCCCCCTCCTCCCTGGGCCTCTGTTTCTCCATGTGGAGGACGTCTGCCCCTAGCTCGCTTCCCCTGACTCTCTGGAAAGGAGGCCAGGGAGGAAGAGCCCTCTCTCCCCCAATGTCTCGGTTCTTTTGGACAGGTCCACCTGCCAGAATGCCGAAGGGCCTATTTCTGCCAAAGCTGCAGGATCAGGCCTCGGGGCTGGGCATGGAGCCCTGGTGACCTCACTGCTGGAGCAGGTGCAGGCGGAGGAGGGGTGTGGAATGGTTTGTGACTGAAGGTCACAGCCACTGGATACAGGGCCTCCTCTCCCAAGGACTGGGTGCTGGAGCCCCAGGGACCAAAGCTGCCTCCTGGCGTGCTCCCTTTATCGCCGTGGGGGAGAGCTGGGGCTGGGCTGACAGCTGCTGGCAGGTGGATCTGTGTCCCAGTTCTCATTCCATCGGGTGCTAGCTGGGTGGCTGTGGGCAATTCAATTAAGCCACTGTCAGCCTCAGTTTCATCTTGAAAATGGAGATAATGACGATGTTTACCCTGACAGAGGCGATCGGGGATCCAATGAGATAAGATGTTTCAAATGCCGAGCGTGGCAGACTTGCATGTTCCCTGCTGCTCCCACTGCTGCTGTTTTCGTCATTGTCTCCAAGGGCCGTGCAGGATCCCGGACCTGCTCGCAGCTCTGCCCTCACCTGCCGGGCCACCGAGGCAGGTTGCCTTGCTTCTCTAATCCTGTCTTCTTATTCCTGAGACAGGATTAGAAATGGCTGCAGCTGTGAGGAAGGGGCTGTAGAGGTCTTCAGGACGGGTTGGCAGGGACACTGCCACAAAGTCCTTTTGCTCCCTCTCTTGGGCCCTGCCTAAGGTGAGCGGCAGGGTGCTTTGAGGAACTTGAGACAAACCCCAGACCCACTATTCTTGCTGCCCTACCCTCATCTCCCCACCCCTCGGACCTGGTCACCAAAGTTTGACTCCTAAGCTGCACCCTATCTCCTTTACACCTGGTTTTCCTCCTTCTCCCTTCTAAGTGTGTACAGCTTCTCAGCCCTCTGATTACCCGTATCCTCCTTGTCCTGTTATGTTCACTATCTGGGGAAAAAGGGGGAAAGGGGAGGGAAGGTGAGCCCTGTCCCTTGTCCTGCCCTTGGCAGATCCAGATATTGATAATAACATCTGGCAGGCAGCAGGACCAGTCGCTGCCAAGAGCGGCATCTCCCCAGCCCTTGCCCTATGGTGATGTCACTGTTCTATGTTTCCATGGCAACCACAGGCTGGGAAGATGGAGAAGAGGAGAGATGAGTAACCAGGAGAGAGCCAATGAGATGGGCCGGCAGCACCGGATGATCCATGGGGCCATGAGCAGGAGGGGAGCGGGAGGCCTACTCAGCATTTTCAGCTGTTCCCTGGACCCTCCCTGCCATCTGGACGCCTCCACTAGGGGATGTGCTGCTGGCACGGGGAGAGATGTAAGAGACAGAGGCCAAAGAAACTGAGCTGGAGGCTCCAGTGACCCAGGAATATGGAGACCCCCTTTCCCCCTTCAGGGCCTAAGTCTGTGGATGCTGACCATCCCCACCCCACCCCACCCCCAGTACCTACAACTGGGAATTCTTCTCTTTGGCTGACAGTGCTGGTGGGCTCTCTGTCTCTGCCGTGGAATCAAGTCTTAGACAACCCTCTCTCCACACCCTCCATACCCTTCCTTGGTTCATGGTGTGTTCAGAAGGAGTATCTTTGGAAAGAGGCCTGGTTCTGAATCCCAAGCCTGCCATTTACTAGCTAGAGACGCAGAGCAAGTCCCTTCTGCCTTCTGAGTCTCCTTTTGCCCAAATGGATGTACTTCTCAGGGTTGTCACGAGGATTAAAAGAGAGAACTTACAGAAAGCCTAACACACACTAATACTCAATGAACAGTGACTCCCTTCTCCCTTCTGGGTGTCCTCCCCAGGGCGGTTGTCCCAGAGGCGCACAAGAATGAGCCTTCTCTCTTGAATCAATAGGAAACGGCCCACGTATATCTCCATCTCCTCCTCACTGAGGTCATCGCGTGCCTGCAGACACTGCAGAGAAGTTTCCTCAGCTCTCCCTTTCTCTCTCTTTGTATAATCCATCCCTTCCATCAATCTTCACTGAGCACCTCCTACGCCCAGGCGCTGTGCGGGCTCAGTGGGGAGCCAGGGTGAAGGGGAGGGCCTGCCTTCCCTGGACCTGCGGGGGGAGTGCAGTCACAGCGGGTGGAATGGAGCGTTCTTTCTGCCACCAGGAAATCGCTTCCTTATTCCCCAGGAGTTCTAGGTACTGTAGGGCTGAGAGAACAAATGTTGGCAAAGACAGAGGTTTACTCCACACCCGTTGCTTCTGAGAAACTGCTGCCTGGGGCAGGATGCTCCCTGGAAGAACAGTGGCTCTCCCTGTGCAGGGAGGAGAGGCGTGGGCAGCTCAGAGTGGAGGGGCAGTCACCTCTGCCTTCCCAGAAACCAGCGCCCTCACTCCTGCTACCGACAGAATAAAGTCCAAACTCTAGCCTTGTCCCGTCTGTTTCATTGGTCTCATGCATCGCTGAAATCCTGTTCCAGGAAGAGTGCCTGGCAGGTAGTAGGCAGGAATGAATATTGGACATTGAATGAATGAGCGTATTGAATGAATGAGTGAGTGAGTGACTCTATCTTCCTTTCTAGCTTTAGGGGTTCAGAGTGAGACTTACTTGGGTTCCAGTCCTGCCCGGTGACTTACATACCAGCTGTGTGATCTCGAGCAAGTCACCATCTCTGGGTCTCGTTTTCTTCCTCTGCAAAAAGCACATTACGCTTCCCACCCAGCCAGCCTCCCAAGACTCTGGGAAGATAAGGTGGGATAAGCTTGGGAATGCAGTACAGAGGTTAATTGTTTCTCTTCCTTTCCTGGCTGTCCATGGCCCTCCACACCAGACCCACATCTCTTGCCCCAGCCCCAGGGCTCCCGGGCTCTGCCCCTGCCTGCCTCTCCAAGCTCTCCACCCTGTGGCCACTCTGCCCTTTCTGTACCTTGAAGAGGGGCCGTGTTTCTCTCTGGCCGTTTGCCTAGAATACTCTTCCTCCCTTGCCCCTCCTCTTTTAGTTAACTCCTATTCACTTTTTAGCTTTCCGTCCCTTCCTCCAGGAAGCCCCATCTTCCTATCTTAGCACTTTGTCCTGCTTTCACGTGGTCCGTTTGTTTCAGAGTCTGTCCTTCCTGTTACACCGGAAGTCCTGCGAGAGCTCTCTGCCGTGTCCACAGAGCCTGGTAGAGGGCCTGGCACGGATTTGTGGGATGGACAGTCTCTGGAGCAAAGAAAGTCACTTCTCTTCAGTGTTTTCTCTGTTTGAAAATTCTGCCCGCCCCCCACCTCAACTGTCCTCCTGCCAAGTATCCTGTCTCTTTTTCACTCCATCTCAAGGGCCACGAGACTGGGCCATTTCTGCTGCGCCCTGGGGCCCACGTCCTCCCAGGTGAGCACTGCCCTGGGTGCATCAGTGAGGCCCGAGTCTCAACAGTAGCTTTCTTGGGGACAGGGCCGTTCCCAGGAGGTAATCAGACTGGATCCCAGACTCAGGGCTGCCCCTGGCGCCTTCCCCAAACTACTCCTCTCTCAAATGAAAAGTTTGCCTCTGCAAAAATACAAACAATACTGGATTAGGTAAAGCTGAATTAGAAAAGTAAACCTAATGCTTATAAAACAGCACCTCACCTGAGGTCTGTGGCGTGTTCACGTGTCATGTGACCTGCCACCAAACAATGGTTCAATGGTCGTTTCCCAGAGTGTGCTTCATTCGGGAGCAGCCTGTTCAAGATTCTGGAAAGATTCGGGCAGCTCTGGGAGCCTGATGAGCCAGGTTGGTGTGGACAGGTGACCACTGTGTATCCTTAGGTGAGGAGAGTTGGCAAGCCATGGCAGGAGGGCTGGCAGGAAGTAGACCTTGGCCTCAGGAGTCTGGGGCCAGGTGTGTTCCAGGAAGCAGGTGCAGAGCCAAGGCTGTCAGCCTGGCATGGGCTTTTTTGGGGACCTGGGATCTTGGGGCTGGCTGGGAGTTGGTGGGGGGCAGCCTCTCTGGGCTCTGTAGTAAACAGAGACGCTAGATAGGAAAAGGAAGGAGCCATTTGCGGAGGGTCTGGGTGGGCTGAGGGGTGACCAGGACCGGAGCCTATGGCGAGAGATTTCCCCTTCAACAGGTGGGAAGTGGGAAGACCAGGAGATTTGAAGGATGGGATCAGGGTCAGGGGAGGATGATGGCAGACGAGTAATGGGGTTGTCCAGTGCAGGGGTAAGAGGAGCCCAGGGTGGCATCTGGAGCCAAGGGCTGGCTCCTGCCCAGTCACCCTCTCCGCTGGGTGAAGCAGCGTATGAGCTGCGGGCAGCAAGGGGGAGCAGGTGGAGAGACCGCGGGCAGGGCAGTTGGGGGACATGACACCAGCCGTGTGAACTTGGCCAGCCAGTCCCTCTGCCTGTTTCCTCTGCTGTGTGATGGGATTGTACTGTCTACCTTTCAGGGCTGTTGGGAGGAACAAGGGAGATAGTGGGTGTAGAGAAGCATTGTATGCTGTAAAGTGTGGTGCGGAAAATGATCGCTAACGTCGATGAGCACTCACCGAGTGCAGGCACTGGACGTAGCAGCTTTCTTTCAACTCTAGTTATCTGACCATAACCCGGTGATGCTCCCATCCCCAATTTACAGAGGAGAGCCAGGATTTGGACCCAGGGAGACCGGCTCTAGATCTTCTGCGGCATACTGCTGTTCCACTTGCCTTTCCCTGTCGTAGTCTTCGCCCTGCCTTGCTCCGTGACCTTGGGCCAGTCTCTTCCCTTCGGTGTCCCCAGCTCCATGGTAGCGGGTTCACCAGATGATCCCATTAATCCTTTAAGCATTGGCAACTGGTAGTTCAGGAAAGGAACTTCCAAGTGGGGAAGAGGGTGAGGTGGGCCAGAATAGGGAGAGGACAAATGTTTCCAGTGTCCCTGCCCCAACACTGCCCCCTCCACAGTGGGGGGCTGGCAGGCTCCCCTTTGCCCTACAAGCTGTGGGGCCAAGGGAACAGGTGATGCTCAGCCCCAGCCTGAAATACTCACTGTCACTGAGGGTCACTGAGGTCTGAGAGCCAGGACTGCATGCCAACAGGCAGGCAGGGCCCATCTGCCTTGGCTAGCAGACCCCAGAGGGCTGCAGGGCCATGGGCTGCCTGAGCCACACCTCTTAGTTTCCACCCGCCCATTCTGGGCCACCATCCCCTGACTCGGAGTCAGTTTATCTGGGCACTAGGCCTGATCTGGGGCCTGGGGATGTGGCTATTTCTAGATGTCCTCCCTCTCTCCTTGGCCTGGGCCTCCAGCCAGCTCAGGGGACAGACACACACACATTCCCTCTCTCTCCTTTATTACTCACTGAACTTGACTGCCACTGGCTTGGTGCCTGGCCCCATGCTGGGTGCTGACTACCAACAGATGACCAGACTTGGTCCCTGCTCTTATAGAGAGGTGAATGTGTCTGCGGACTGTGACAATACAGAAAGGCTATCACTATCTCAGAGGGCTGTCAACGACCACGGCAGACCAGGGAGGGAGCCGCTCACTCTGCCGGGAGGGTCGGGAAGGGCTTCACACAGGAGGTGCCCTTTGGGCTGGGTCTTGAAGGATACATAGGAGAGTGCCAGATGTGGGGAGAGGAACTGGGAAGGCAGGGGAAGAAGGGGTAGGTAAGGAAGGATGAGATTTTCCTGATGATTGATCTGGGATGAGGGCAGAGGACGAAAGTGGCAAGTGATGGAGTGGGAAGACGGTTTAGGGCCAGAGACGAAAAGACCTTGCCCATCATCGAGGAGGCTGCCCTTTGTTCTGAAGACAACGGAGAGTCACTGAGGGCTTGGGGCAGGGGAGTGCCCTGATCTGACCCGCATCATGGGAAGAGTTCTCCGGCTGTTGTGTGGACGCTGGACTGGAGACCGGTTAGGAGGCTGCGGCTGCCGTCCCGGGCTTCTCACCCCTGCTGCAGCCAGCCGGAAGGGAAAAGGCGGGGGACACACCTCTCCCAATTAAAGGCGTGACCTGGCAACTGTGCACATCTCTTTCTTGGCCAGAAATTAGGCTCCTGACCATGCCTAGCTGTAAGCGAGACTGGGAAACACGGACGTTATTCTGGACTGCCTGTTGGTCTAGAAAAAGGAGAGAATGGCTATCAGGGGACTGGAGGTCTCTGACAGGGTGGTTAAAGTCTCTCTCTGAAATCAGATCTCCTGAGTTTAAGCGCCACCTTATGGCTTACCAGCCGTGTGGGCAGGTCACTTACCCTCTCTGGGCCTCAGCTACCTCCTCTGAGGGTACAGTGAGCCAACACACCGGGTCTCAGAGCAGAGCCTGGCACATCGCGGGGCCCAGAGCTGGCTTTCGTTTCTGAGAGATGGGGGTGCTCTGGGGCAGGTGCAGCCTGAGTCCCCTGGCAGAGCTGAGGCACCCACAGGGGCTGACGCATGGCTGGGGCAGCCGGGACCGTTCTGCCCCCATCCCTCAAACCAGTGGTTGGCTGAGGCAGAGGGTGCTGGGAGCAGGTCATGGGAATCCTGGGAAAAGAAAGGTCCATTTTGGAGGGAATTCAAGAATAGATGGCCCAGCGGGCCAGCCCGGTGGCACAGCAGTTAAGTTCGCATGTTCCACTTTGGCGGCCCAGGGTTTGCCGGTTCGGATCCTGGGTGTGGACATGGAACCGCTTGGCAAGCCATGTTGTGGCAGGCGTCCCACCTATAAAGTAGAGGAAGATGGGCACAGATGTTAGCTCAGGGCCAGTCTTCCTCAGCAAAAAGAGGAGGATTGGCAGCAGATGTTAGCTCAGGGCTAATCTTCCTCAAAAAAAAAAAAGAAAGAAAAGAAAAAAAAGAAGACTAGATGGCCCAAGAAAAGATAGGCGTGGGCCCAGGAGTTTCAGAGGAAGCCCAGCCGGAGCCCCGCCCTCTTGCAGGATAGCAGCTCTCCCAGGACCAGCAGGAGCTGGTTAGTTTTGAGTCAAGGGCCCCGGAAGCAGGGCTCAGACTCATAGCTGCTGGTGACCCCAGACCCCCAACCACCACTGGCCCCTCTCTGGACCTGGGGCTCCCCATCTGGAAGCTGGGGCTCATTATCCCTGCCCTCCTGCCCCGTGACTGTGAAGAGGTCGGTCCTGGCTCTGGAGGCGGGTTGCACCTGCGGGGCGGAGCCCTGGGAGGGATGGGTCACGCCCACGACAGGGCGCCCCCTCCTGGGAAGGGGGAGCATCGCAGCTCGTCCTGCTGAGCCGCTTGCCCCTCCTACCTTCTCCCTCCTCTGGCCTGCACTCCGTTTCCCAGGCGACTGGCTGTAAAACAGGGTGAGATAGGAGAGCTGATGTGGGAAGGAGAGAAAGTGAGCCCAGGAAGATTGGGGCGGGAGGGAGGAGTGGGGGAGACACAGCAACGTCAGGGAAAAGGCAGAGTGGTAAGATTGAGGAGGGCTCGTGGGCAGGGAAAACGAGGAGCTTAAAGTGAGCGGGGAGGGGTGTAGAGTCAGCTTT